TATCTATATATATATATAAAGACTAATAATAGTATGTTATGCATCAATAGCAGCAACAGCTTTTCCAGGTTCTGCAGTCATCTGAACAAAATTATAGACATTCGGCAGATTCCATTAAAAAAAAAACAAAACAAAGAAAAGAATAATATCCAGAAAACAGCCAAGTTCTGTTGCTGCTGTGGTACCTGGCACCATTTTTTCTATTAGCCTCTTAATCATCATCTGGAAAGAGAACATTCTAGAGTAATATCATTAAATGTAGCTCTGATAAAGCACGGTCCCTACTATGTATCATAAAGCAGGTACTAGATATTTTACATTCATAGAGGTATGATACAGTACTGTCCTACATCAATAATACTAGATTCAGTTTTGGTTTGAAATTTACTTTGTCTGCAAATAAGATTGCTACCCCTGTTTTTTTCTGGGCTCCTGTCACATGGAGAATTATTTTCTATCTTTTCACTTTCAGTCTATGGGCTTCTTTTTGCACTAGGTGTGTTTCTTGTATACAACATATTGTTGGATTTTGCTTCTTATTCCATTTTGCCAGTCTATTTCTCTTGATTGGTGAGTTGAGGCCATTGACATTGCTGGTTATAACTGATATGTACTGACTTATTATTGACATGTTATTGGCCTTTTGTTGACTCTTTTTACTTTTTCACCTTCTCCTTTTAATTTCTTGCCTTGCCTATTTGATTTGCTCTGTTGGGCCTCATGGTGTTGTTGCCTTCATTGTCTTTTTCTAGGATCTTGTTTAGAATTGCTTGTAGTGCTGGTTTGGTATTCATGTAGTTTCTCAGGTGTTCTTTGTCGTGGAAGTGTCTTATTTCCCCATCCATTTTGAAAGAGAGTTTTGCTGGATACATCAGTCTAGGTTGGAGGTTGTTCTCTTTTAGTACTTGAAATATCTCATTCCAGGCTCTCCTTGCCCCAAGGGTTTGTGTTGAAAAGTCTGCTGTGATTCTGATGGGCTTTCCTTTGTATGTGATTTGTTTCTTTTCTCTTACTGCTTGTAGTATTTTGTTCTTCTGTTGGGTTTCTGGGATCTTGATTATTATATGTCTAGGTGTAGATTTTTTTTGATTGTAGCTAGTTGGGGTCCTATATGCCTCAGTTATCTGAATGTCAAATTCTTCCCCTCTGTTTGGGAAGTTTTCTGTCATTAATTCTGCAAACAGCTTTTTTAAGTCATTTGTATTTTCTCCTGCTACTTCATGTATTCCTATCAGTCTTATGTTATTCTTCTTTGCATCATCTAGGAGTTGTTGGATCGATTTCTCATGATCTCTTACTGTTTTTAAGAGACCTCTCTTTTCATGGTCACTGACTGCAATCTTATCTTCTATATCTGAGAGCCTATCTTCGCATTCTTTTATTCTGTTGTGTACACTTTCAATAGAGTGTTTAATCTCCTGGATATCTGTTTGAATCTGTTTTATGGATTCCATTTCTTTCCTATGTTGGGCGTTTATTTTTTCCATTTCTTTCTTATGCTGGGCCTTCATGACTTCTATCATGGTCCTGAGCTCATCTATTTTTCTGTCAGTTTCTGCTCTAGAGTCTTGAATCACGACTTCCATTTTGCTCACTATCTCTATGGTTATCTGGGAAATTATTTCTGTTTTGAATTTTTCTAGAGCCTGATTGATCTGTTTTGTTACTACCTGTGCTTTGAGTTCAGGGTGTCCTGGTGGTTCACTATCGGCCTTTTCATCCTCATTTGCCCTACTGTTTGCCATTGGAGAACTGGAAGTCTGTCCTTGAGTCTTGCT